CAGGTCGGAACCACCATCCAAGTAGCCTGTAGCCAGAGCCTCTGTCCTGACACCCCTCTGTGCAGCACCAGCTACAGCTGTTTGTTAGGTGGCTGTAGTTGTAGCTTTGTTTACAAGCTGTGGGCCAGAGCCTCAAGTCCCTGCTCGGGGCAGGAGCCGAAGTCCAGACTCTCCACTGGCCTCAGCAGGCCAGGGCTCAGTTCTCGGGGAGAACCCACTGACCAGTGACGGTAAGGCCTTGGCACCGGGACACTGTGAGTGTTCGCCAGCACACCTACCCTTGGCACGGCACGGCACGGCACGGCGCCACAAGGCACGGCAGAGCACGGCACGGCGCCACAAGGCACGGCAGAGCACGGCATCGCACGGCATGGCAGAGCACGGCACCGCACAGCACGGCACCACATGGCACGGCATTGCACGGCATGGCAGAGCACGGCACAGCACAGCACAGCATGGCACCACACAGCACAGCACGGCACGGCAGAGCATGGCATGGCACGGCACAGCACAGCATCGCATAGCACCGCACGGCACGGCACAGCACAGCACCACACGGCACGGCACGGCACAGCACCACATGGCACAGCAGAGCATGGCATCACATAGCACCACATGGCACAACATGGTACCATGCAGCACAGCATGGCAGAGCAAAGCACAGCATTGCCCCACATGGCACTGCCTGGCAGAGCAAGGCACGGCATGGCACGGCACTGCACGGCGTGGCGCAGCACCTCACAGCATGGCAGAGCACAGCACAGCACAGCACAGCACAGCACAGCATTGCACCACATGGCACTGCCCTGCACGGCACAGAACAGCAGAGTAAGGCACAGCACGGCGTGGCGCAGCACCACACAGCATGGCAGAGCGTAGCTTGGCACTGCACAGCTTGGCACTGGATGGCACCGCACAGTGCGGCACTGCACAGCTTGGCACTGGGTGGCACGGCACAGCTTGGCACTGGATGGCACCGCACAGTGCGGCACTGCACAGCTTGGCACTGGGTGGCACGGCACAGTGCGGCACTGCACAGCTTGGCACTGGATGGCACCGCACAGTGCGGCACTGCACAGCTTGGCACTGGATGGCACCGCACAGTGCGGCACTGCACAGCTTGGCACTGGATGGCACCGCACAGTGCGGCACTGCACAGCTTGGCACTGGATGGCACCGCACAGTGCGGCACTGCACAGCTTGGCACTGGATGGCACCGCACAGTGCGGCACTGCACAGCTTGGCACTGGATGGCACCGCACAGTGCGGCACTGCACAGCTTGGCACTGGATGGCACCGCACAGTGCGGCACTGCACAGCTTGGCACTGGATGGCACCGCACAGTGCGGCACTGCACAGCTTGGCACTGGATGGCACCGCACAGTGCGGCACTGCACAGCTTGGCACTGGATGGCACCGCACAGTGCGGCACTGCACAGCTTGGCACTGGATGGCACCGCACAGTGCGGCACTGCACAGCTTGGCACTGGATGGCACCGCACAGTGCGGCACTGCACAGCTTGGCACTGGATGGCACCGCACAGTGCGGCACTGCACAGCTTGGCACTGGATGGCACCGCACAGTGCGGCACTGCACAGCTTGGCACTGGATGGCACCGCACAGTGCGGCACTGCACAGCTTGGCACTGGATGGCACCGCACAGTGCGGCACTGCACAGCTTGGCACTGGATGGCACCGCACAGTGCGGCACTGCACAGCTTGGCACTGGATGGCACCGCACAGTGCGGCACTGCACAGCTTGGCACTGGATGGCACCGCACAGTGCGGCACTGCACAGCTTGGCACTGGATGGCACCGCACAGTGCGGCACTGCACAGCTTGGCACTGGATGGCACCGCACAGTGCGGCACTGCACAGCTTGGCACTGGATGGCACCGCACAGTGCGGCACTGCACAGCTTGGCACTGGATGGCACCGCACAGTGCGGCACTGCACAGCTTGGCACTGGATGGCACCGCACAGTGCGGCACTGCACAGCTTGGCACTGGATGGCACCGCACAGTGCGGCACTGCACAGCTTGGCACTGGATGGCACCGCACAGTGCGGCACTGCACAGCTTGGCACTGGATGGCACCGCACAGTGCGGCACTGCACAGCTTGGCACTGGATGGCACCGCACAGTGCGGCACTGCACAGCTTGGCACTGGATGGCACCGCACAGTGCGGCACTGCACAGCTTGGCACTGGATGGCACCGCACAGTGCGGCACTGCACAGCTTGGCACTGGATGGCACCGCACAGTGCGGCACTGCACAGCTTGGCACTGGATGGCACCGCACAGTGCGGCACTGCACAGCTGTAGCCTGCGTGGCACACGCACAGGAACTCGGCCACGCGGTCCTTGCACACGCCCCTGTTCAAACAGGGCTGGGACAGGCACTCGTCGATCTCTGCGGAGGGGGACGCCTTCGTGACAGCCCTGGGACTGAGCTTCAAATTGCTGATGCAAAATCACCTTTCAGAAACTACCTCTGCCCTCCTAAAGTAATTCAATGAACTGTGCTAGTCAATCAAACTCCTGCTGGAACTACAGTCCTCCAAAACAAATTAAAATCTTGAACCCAGAAACGTGGTTGAACGCAATGGAAAATCCATTGCTGAAGCACCACACAAATCTTTCTTTCACTGAAGCTGAGCTACAGATTGATGCAACTGGAGGAATCCCACAGCTTCCTGAAAGCTTTGCTCACTCCCTTCACTGCCAAATTGTTTATGCAATTATCATGCACAGGGGCTTAGTTAAGTACTTATATCCACTTGAATATCTTCATAAGTTAAGTCATCAGATCTCATCAGAATGCAAATGAAGAAAGTGATGGAAGCTCTCCCTGGGAACTATGCTACCTTTTTCCCCCTGTGGCACTAAGTATCCTGAAAAACACTTGAAGATCTGATCGGATACAAAGCTACTTCCTCCTAGTGAAAAAGATTAACAATGACAAGTAACTGTCCAATTTTATCTCTTTTATCTTATTAAAGCTGGACTCTATTTTTGGCTTTGGCTGATTATGTGAAAAGATAATTTCACGAAGCTTTCAGTAGAAGCTGCTATATTTGAAATATTCTATAAAAATGTGCCCTTTAATCTTTTTCTTCAAAGAGAACAATGGTTTTCTCAATAATCATTTCACATGATGCTTACTTTCTGCAAATGGTCTTTTCCTTAAGAAGCAGGTTGTTCAGTTGCTTTGTATATGAGGCTATGTCTACACAGCTTCCTTCGTCTGCAAAAGCCTATGCAAATGAGGTGCATGTTAGCATATTGCCGTGCTTCATTTGCATAATTAATTAGGAGTCGTTTTTGCACAAGAGATTTTTGTGCAAGAGCCGTTCTTGAAGAAAGGAGAAAGAACAGCTCTTGTGTAAGAGGGGTTTTTGTGCAAAAAGGCGCTATGTAGACGACGCCTTTTTGCACAAAAATGGCTCCTAAGTAATTATGCAAATGAAGTGCAGCAATATGCTAATCCATGCTTCATTTGCATAGGCTTTTGCGGAAGAGGGAAGCTGTCTAGACGTAGCCTTACATTGCAAAAAGAGCTTTTATATTTAATTACAGAACAACAACTACAGAAATTCCACTGCCGTACTCCTAAGGCTGTTTCTCATTTCTAAACTAGAACAATAATCAATTATTAGTTGATGTTCTGAACTACATGGTAATATCAAATAAGGCAAGTAGCCAAAGACTTGCATAATAGTTCAAAGTTTAGGTGAACCTCTTAGATCTAAAAAGTCCATTCAACCTCATGACAACAAGCATTGTTATAGGTGTCTTTCAGTAGAGATGATTTTAAAAATCTATCCCAAAAGTCCAATAATTTGACATGTGTATTAATCCCAACTTGGAACCAAAAAAATCCTAATATTGAAATTTTCTGATGAAAAATGCAAAAATATTTTTCTTTGGAAATGTTGCAGTGTTTTACTGTGGTTTGCCAAACTGAATCAAAAGATTTTATTTCATTGATCTGGGTCAACCTAAGTTGCCACGGTGATCGAAGGACATTTTTCCCCTGTGCATTACAGCCATGTGATTCCTTTGATGCAGTGCCGCAGTTCAGCCAGAAGCAAGACTTAATGCATCATGGAAGATGTAGTCCAGGCAAGGAGCTGACTCAGAGAAGAAGGGTAGCATGAGGCTTCACAACCTCTCAGACAAATTGGTTAATGTTGAACTGTCTCAAAACACCATTTCAAATTCTGTTCACCAAACTGAAATACTTCAATGTGAGGGTTACCCCACCCAAGATAAAATATGTCATTTCAATTTTCCTGACAAAAATTTGAAAAATTTCAACAAAATTTAATGTGGAAACCAGGGGTGAAAGTAAGGGCGCTGCACCCCAGTGCGCAGCTCCAGCAAGTGTCAGCTAGGAGCTATTTAAAGAGGGGGGAATTATTAAGAGAGCCATTAAGGAGGTATTTACTGGGGGTGTAAGTGATGCCAAATTGTTGCCACTCGGACATTGTGTTGAATGCCCGAGGTAAACGTACATGGGCAATAAGCAAATGGTCTGGTAGCACTTTATAGACTAACAAAACATGTAGATGGTAGATGGGCAATAAAGCAGTTCTGTTTACCCCATCTGCTCCTGGGTCACCTGTTTCTTCTCTAACAACCTCCAGTCACAAATTTTAGGGAGTTTGAAAAAGCGACTGAAAACAACTGTTGTAATCCATTCAGAGTCGTGAGCCTTAGACACAAGACAAACTGAAGAAGTGGACTATTTTGCTAATAATAAGGAACAGTGGGTGCCATTGTCACAAGGGGGAGCTGTTGTACGGGTGATCAGTCTGCACAACAGTGCATTAGACCAGCTTTACAGAACAACAAATCCACAGTGAATAAATATACCTTTAACAAACTTTATTATCACCAATCCGGAGCAATATATATCTATTTTAGTAGTAAGCAATTTTTTAAAAAATCATTAAAAGGCAGGTTAAAAGCAATGTTTAAATTGAATAGTTAACAGTCTAATTCTTAACCCAATTTAATACACACTCTCATACACACATTCACACATACCACACTCTCTGGAGCTGGCCAAACTCAGGTAATGTTGGTTAATTTGGTTGAGGCAGAAGTCCGACGTGCACATCACCCCAATATGCCAAATTGATTGACTCCAACTTCTGTGGCAAAATGGTGTGGCATATATCCCATTGGCAAAGGACAGTTTGAATGGGGGTGATGTCCAATGGTTTTACCACCTTCAGGTATGCTTACGACCAATCTTGGAAGATCCTGCTTCCAACACCCAATTCTGCTCGCCTCGCCACAAGCAATAAGCAATGGAATATCCTTGGTCAAGTTCTTTCCTCACTGACTCCTTTTATTTGGGAACTTTGCCTCCTTTGTGCAGTTTTGCTTCTCTCAGCACACACAATTGTTTTTTTCCACACAGTCTTTTTTTCAAAGTGATAAACAACTCCAGGGCACTGATTCAAACCTTAATATGGCCTCTCTTCAGCTCACTTACCATTAATTCACTCATGCCAACCATTCACACTACCCATGATTCATGACACCATGCACATTGAGCCCTCTGCATCCCCACCCCTTGTCCTGAGTCCACATACACCCAACTTCCTCCCCCCGCAGCTCCCAGCCCTCAGCCACACAGAGCGCCTGGCCCGCCCACACCTCCTCTCTGCTCCTCCCCCCGCAGCTCCCAGCCCTCAGCCACACAGAGCGCCTGGCCC